TGACTCACGAAAAAAAAAACATGTAACATCTGAAAGGATTCAAGTAATATTTCACTTATAAAATACTTTATATAGATGGTTTGATATAAGCTAAGTTTCTCTGCCCATGTGGCACATGAATCCCAGAAAGGATTAATAAGAATTCTAAGTCTTCAAACACTATTTCATAGATCTGAACAGGCAAAACAGAATGTAATACTGACTTTAGTTAATAAGCAGGGGTCAGCAAATGGCACCTTACAACCCAAATCCAGGCAGCTGCCAGCTTTTGTTAAAGTTTTCTTGAAACACAGCCACGCCCATTCATTTACCTATTTTCTATCTATGGCTGCTTCTGCTCTAAAACTGTTAACAATGAGTAGCTCCAAGAGACTTTATGGCCTATAAAACCTAGAATATTTATTGTCTGGCTCTTTTTTAAAAAAAGTTTGTTCACCTCCAGCTGATATAGGAAAAAGAAGAGCTGAGATCCATTTAAGATCTTTTATTTAAGTGTTCCCAGGACTTTATGATTATACAATCCTCAAATCACATCTTCTCTGTGTGCCATACTTTGTTCAATGTCCTATGCCTTTAAAAATTATTACTAATTAAGTCAATCTTACAGACCAAAATTTGAGCACTACATCAAAGCAACTGAGCTAGAAGGAACTTCTATAACAGAGCACAATCTCATTAAACAGAGGTGATATCGGAGGTTCTACAGAGGGGCTGAGCTCAGACTCGGGGTTCTGATCCTTGCTTTTCATATGCTGGCAGTTCTCTTCATTTGAACATAATTCATTCCTAAGAAAGTACCATTATCAAGCAACAGACTTAGATGGGATATGAGGGGGTTTTTGTTCCCAGCAACAGCAAATACATTTAATATTCCAATGTTATGTCATCGTGGACTTAAAGTTGGATGCTTTTATGTTTCTTTCAACTGGCTTAAGTCCACTCAAGGTCCTATTGAGGCTTAATATCATTACTTTTGTCACATCTAATAACATCACAATCTTTGTTTCAAGCATACCAAGTTTGTGAGAATTATACTTTGTATCGATAATGTTGGTATTTTCATATATTCATTGCCACCTTTACACGGTAACAAATAGTATAAAATAATGCAGTACAGTGTATCATGAAGGGTACTGCTTACCAAATCAACTTTCTGGTTGGCAGGTAGCATCACCTTGTTTTTTCATCAGGCAATAAACAAATAAACAAAAATAGTATAAAATAGTGATTTCAAAATACCAATGTATGACTATATCAAAAAATGGGCTGTGGGTTGAACACAAAGAGGATCACCTGTTTTGGACTTCTTCATAAAAATCTGCTTGAAGAAATGCTTCTTCCACTGCTTTAAAGATATTTTAAAGCCACAAAACATTTTAAAAATCACAATTCATACACGGGAATAGTGAGGTCCAGGGAATATAAATGATGTATGCAAGGTTGCAGAATAAGTATCAACACTTTCAAATATTCACTTAAAAATACAAAAGTAGGCATGAGTGAAACACACAAGGTTGATTTCAGTGTAAAAAGTATTTATAGTACAATTTAAAACCTCAGTCTTAACAAAAGTCTGACAAAAATACTAACACTTTTATGTTGCAATAAAATGAACTCGTACCTTTTCTCTTCAGCTGCCACGTTTATTGAATCCATTATGTTTTTCACAGTAGCTAGTATCTGTTTAGCTCTGATAGTGTGCTGTTCAAACTTTGTTTTCACTGCTGATTGCGAGATACACTCCTGCGAGGGGCCCAAGCCATAACACATTACTGTAATTCCATCCCAACATTTTCAGGAATTCAAACACAAAAACTTGCTGTTTGTAACTTTAACCCAAACAGGAACAGAAAATAAATAAGTGATAAAAGCACAACTTAAAATTACAAAGGTGAAAGAAATACAAAGATTCAAAAGTAAAAAGGGCTTTAGCAGCAAGTTAACATCTTTGTGTATTTTTACACAGTAATGTGCAATGGTTTGACTCTAACACAAAAAAAAAATAAACAGGGTACTATTTTCAACGTTAAAAGATTTCCTCATTAGAATTACTAATTTTATCTAATTAGTAATTTTATCTAATTAGAATTACTAAGTTTATCTAGATCATCTTTAATCCAATTCTAGTCCATCTATCTAGATTCTTCTCATACTTGCAACAGATATAACCTAGTAAAGTTCTTAAGATGTGAATTAGAACAATTCCTTATTTTAAAAAATAGCTGAATGATACAATGATTCCTGTAAGTTTGCTAAAAAGGACTTCATTGGGTTAAAATGTGAAGAATTTGAAAGCTAACATTTAACAACAATGTAACATCTTCCATTGTTTATAGAAAAATATTTGCAGTTATTTAGAAGATAATTGTAATTACTTTCATTACAATATAGTGTATACACAAAGGCCTGGATCATGCCCTATCTCATCTGTTTCACCTTCAAGCTAACTCCAGCTCACAACTCATTAATAGTTGTTATAAATCAGTGTTTTATGCCAGTTGTCTATTTAAATAAAAAAAAAAAAATCATAATGCATCACATATATTAATGGATACATTTGTAACATTTTTGTTTCAATTTTCAATACATAAAATACTTGTTATCTAATATATATAATATATATATATATATATTTTTTTTTTTTTCTTTTTTGAGACAGTCTCACACTGTCACCCAAGCTAGAGAGCAATGGCATGATCTCAGCTCACTGCAACCTCCATGGCCCCAGGTTCAGGCGATTCTCTTGCTTCAGCCTCCCAAGTAGCTGGAATTACAGGTGTGCACCATCATGCCTGGCTAATTTTTGCATTTTTAGTAGAGACGAGGTTTTGTAATGTTGGCCAGGCTGGTCTCCAACTCCTGACCTCAAATCACCTGCCTACCTGGGTCTCCCAAAATGCTGGCATTACAAGAGTGAGCCACTGCACCCATCCTACGAATATATATTTACTATGATTTATCATTTAAAGTTTATAAAATTGTTATATTACAATTTGTCTTATATCATTTTAATTCTTAGTCAAATTCACTGAAATACAGCAGAGTAACTACTATAGATGCTTTTTAACAGACATGTTTATTTTCTATGATACATTTCTAAAAATTAGGGATATATTAATTCTGATACTCCAATGAATTCATCTGCTTGAACCATTATATATTTAGCTAATACAAACTGTGGTAATTGCTTCCTGAAGTTCATTACTGTCCTTCCTTTGTCAAAATAAATGGCTTTTAAGCTTCAAAAGGCATTTACATAATACTAGTGCTACATTTGTTGTCCTGAAATCATTAGCATGCTACATGTCATTCAATGTCCTATTTATGACCTATGTTTAGACTTCATGTGTCTGAAATTATTTGTGCACTTAGAAAGACTATAATCTCTTTCGTCATTTTAGATGCCTGCTTCAGCATTTTGTTTGAAGTACAGAAAACAAAACATGATTTAGCTATAGAGCACATGAGGGTAATTCATTTAGTCAACATTTAACTCTGAAGCCATTACTTTCTTGCACTGCCTAACTTCACTTTTGCCCATGGTTAAGCTCATTCAGGCATCATTCATTTTCATTGACTTTGAAAAGATTAATGTAGGAAGTAACAGTATTCCTGTTCTGTACACAACTGAAGATAAAACATTCCTGGATGTTTTCTTCTTTAAAATCACCAATAATTACACAATAGTTAACATTTGTAAACTACTTATTTTTTAATAACTAAAAGAATGCCTTGCTTTTATTTTAAATGCCTCATAAATGTGTCAAATTAACTTCTGCAAAAAATAAAAGCATAAAAATATTTTTAAAAGGAAAAAGATTAAAATAAAGTCTCTATTCCTCGATGAAGCAGATCTAGATATCAGCAATGAAGTTCCAAATTTGTAGATAACAGCACAGTGTTAGAGCTAGACCAGACAGAAAAGATCCCCAAAAGTTATTAGGCAATATGTTACTCTCTGATTCAAAAATATATAATAATGAATAAGTATAGAGAAGAAAACAAGCAATCTTCTAATTAAAAAGTATCCCAGGCTAGTGTTCCACTGAGCTGCAGGAAATTAAGAGGTACCTTGATAAAAGAACATTCTATTCCAAATAAGTAGGGGAAGTGTCAATTTAAATAAAGTTTCCCTTATAAGTTATTTCTCAGCATCCTTAATACACTAATATGGTAATGAACCTCTGTGGGGAACATATATAGTATGCAGCAGTTCCCAGACTTATTTCATCAGGAACTCTAATCATACATTAATAATGTTAATATTTATACGTGTAACTAAAACCAACAAACTTGTCAATTTCCCTTGAAAATACACCCTATAAACACTTAACAACATGCTATTCATCACTGCCAACTTATTTTGACATATTTTCAATAGAAAAGTACAAAAGATATACCTTTCATCTACATATATCAAATATTAACATTCAGCCCATTTTCTTTACTTTTCTTCTCTCTCCATACACATACTCCACACTCTCTCTCCTGTGTGACAGCACACATACATATATTAAAAATGTATGCCCCCCCATATACATAGAGGCATACATTTTTATATATCCTTATGTACCATTTTCCTTCCTGAACATTTTTACAGGTCATTACTGCATCACAAGCTTATTATTAAATACATCAATGCTTGTTTTCTAAGAAAGGGAACTTCAGCTGCACAAACATGAAACAATTGTATTCAGGATATTTACCACTGAGACAACACTAAACTAACAAACAGTTCATGTTCAAATTTCACTGTCATCCAGGAATGTCCATTATAAAAAATACACTGACATTTTAAATAAGTTATTTTTATACATCTATCTCCCATCATACAACGAAAGCTAGTAAGAATTAGTGGTGAAATATCTGGGCAAAAGAAATCTGGATTTCTAATGTGCCTTAGAACAATGCAGTCCAAATGCATTTTGAAACTTTCCAAATCCAGTTTTAAAACAATAAGAAAATGTATTCATAGACTAACATTGATTTTCCTTTCTTCCTTTTTTTTTTTTTTTTTTTTTTTAAAAAAAAAAGAAAAGAGACAGAGTCTCACTCTGTCGCCCCAGCTGGAGCACAGTGGAGCCTCCAAGGTCACATGAGCCACCAACGCCCAGTCTAATGTTGATTTTCTTAATTGCTTTTACTCAAGTTAGTTTTCAAGCCTGTTTAACTTAGTATTCTAAATGTTTAAAATACTTAGCTCTGTTTTAACCAAATGAATCTAAACAACTCCATGACAATGGTCAGACTGATTGATAAAAATGATGAACTTTAACACAGTTTTTCTTTTCACAGAAAATCTTGCAAGACCACAAAGAAAAATAAGCAAATCCCCAAAACACAGAGAAAATGTGTATAAAACCCACATTATGTGACCACAACACAAAGAAACCAAGAAATTATAACCAAAAATTAGATAAAATGAATCAAAACACTTGAATTTTAAAAACTCTTATATTGATAAGGAAATGCCAAAAATAATAATTAGAAACAAAAAAACCCCAAAAACTAAACTAGTACTGAAAACACTGGGATACGCCCAAAGCTGAACTCACAAATTCACAATCTTGAATCTAAAGAACAATAAGCAAAAACCAATGTATTTTCAAAGGAAACAATGTTAAACACAGAACTTAGTGAATACAACCCCAAAATCATATTTACTAAGTGATAAATCACATAAAAGCTGGGGCTGGGTCTTTGGATGGTAAATCACTGGCAAACCCAATTAAGGGTCAGGGAGGGTGTGCGTGTGTGTGTGCCTGTGCGTGTGTGTGTATGTGTGTATGTGGTAGATATACATTTATATTTAAATATGGAAGTGAAACAAGAGATTCAAAACAATTTTATGCTACTAAATTGTAAATTTTCAGAAATACATCAACTTCCAGGAAGGAAATCGGAAATTACCAAAACTAGTTTAAGAAGTAACAAATACCAGTTTTGGAATAAAGCTGACTAGAACTTTCAATGTAATTAATCATCAAAAAATGCTTTGTCTCTTTTTAACACATTCAGATGCAGTATTTTTTTACCCAGCTGATTATTTGTTTAGATAAACACAAGTAATTTTTAACTGATTCTCATTTTAGATATTTCAGACTTAATTTTCAAACTCTAAAGCTGGACATTCCAAAAAAAGTTACTGCTCATAAGCAATTTTTTCCATACATAAATTTTAGAATCCCAGGTGGACCATTAGAATAAAACATAAACTGACAAGTTTCCTCTAAAAACATTTGAAAAGAATAGTTCCTAAGTGTGCTGATTACTGCAATCACTTGGGAAGCTTTGAATATATATGTACATAGATTCCTAGACCCACCTCAACCCCCCTGGATCTGGGGTTGGGGATAGGACAAGTCAGGAGCCTGCGGTTCTCTACAGCACCTGATGCGATTCTGATGACTGGCCAGGCTTACAAACCAACGCCTTAGAGCATATCGTTTATCTTCCATTCCCACCTCCTCAAGGAGATATTCTGGGGAAGCACAAGCTATAACATGAACCAATATGGAAACGGTATAAATGTGTGACAGAACATTACACAATTATACACTCTACCAAATGTACAATTTGATAGAAGAAATCAATGATAAACATACATAAAACACACATATATAAAGGTCAATAAATAAGGAAAGACAAGGTAATAGAACAGATCATCTCCCTACATATTTTCCCCATGAATGAACTGGTAACAGTGAGGAGAGGAGGCCAAGGTGCGAGGATCATTTGAGCCCGTAAGTTTGAGGCTCAAAGGCGCTATGATTGTGCCACTGCACTCCACCCTGGGTAACAGAGGTAGATCCCATTTCTTTAAGAGAAAAAAAAGGTGAGGAGAACATCAATCCTTTGGTGAAAGCAAAAGGAAAAGGAAAACAAACAATGGTCTTTGAGTAACCAGGACTTTACGTATCTTATGGCTTGGTTTCGAGGACATCTACTGGTATTCCAGGAGCCTCTGAACAATCAGAGATCTTACCGAGGTAGCTGGCAGTGGGTTTGCTTTCTTCCAGTTTGTCTTCATCTATGTAATCAACTTTTTCTCTCACCAAATTAAAGATGAGAGATAGTAAGCAAATTTATTTTAAAAATCCTGCCAAGTACACTCAACATTCATGTCCCCTCTATTAAGGCAGCTACTACTTAGAAGAAAGAATAATTACAGAATGAGGTTTCTTCAATGCTGACGTCATCATGTTCATTCCTAAGTGGGAAAGTGGTATGAATTATATAGGGGAAAACACAGGAGTTCAGAAGGTTAACATCTAAATAATTTTTCAGTCAAATGTAGGGTGTTTTAATGTCTCTGAATAAAAACACCTATACTACAATGTAAGAAACTAGCCTCCCTCCCCATCTACCACTCAGGCACTTCAGGAGTTTCCTACAAGATTCTGAAAACGCTGAAGCTATTTTTTACTCAATTATTAATTTCGGATGTTTGGCACAAAAATATGGAGAATGGACATGGGGCAATACAGTTTATAAATGTAATAAAATTTTGTCAAATGGCATTTATCATGTTCTTTATACTTGTATTAGTCATGTGGCACAAAGGAAAAGGATAATACCTACTTTGCTCTATTACCCATTCAAACAGCAATTACATTTGTTTGCTCTTGCTCCAAATTATTAAAGACGGAGAATTTCATTCATTGTACAACACAGCAATATTGGAACACAGTTTCTTATTTATATATGTGTGTGTGCGTATGTGTGTGTGTATACATATATATATATGCATAAAAATAAGAATAAGGAAGAAACTAATTCTCAATTCTTACAAATCATTTTGCAGGGTCTTCCTTTCTTCAGACTTTCCACATTTTACTGGCTATGTCAGTAACCGAACTAAATATAACAGCAAAAGTTATTGACAACGGCAAATGATAAAAATAGAAGATTATGCTTTTCCAACCAAGGAAAGAGTTTTGTATTAGGCAATACATTCATAAAATTCCTACCTCAAAGATTTGTTCAAAATTCTGAAATTCCTGTAATCTTGCCTGAAATCCTTCAGCAAGTGCTCCACCTGTAATGTACAGGCAAAGATTTAAAAACCTAGTATACAGCAAGATATATTTTCCGGCATGCTACAGATTTTATAATTTTAAATACTTTTTTTCTTTTTTCAGAGATGGAGTCTTGCTGTGTCGCCCAGAACTGGAGTGCAATGGCTTGATCTCAGCTCACTGCAACCTCCACCCCCTGGGTTCAAGCAATGCTTCTGCCTTAGCCTCCCAAGTAGCTGGGATTACAGACACATGCCATCACGCCTGTCTAATTTTTGTATTTTTAGTAGAGACAAGGTTTCACTATGATGACCAGGCTGGTCTCAAACTCCCGACCTTGTGATCCACCTGCCTCGGCCTCCCAAAGTGCTGGGATTACAGGTGTGAGCCACCACACCCAGCCAATTTTAAATATTTTTATATTTAAAAAGGAAATCTATAATCAGTGCATACCACCTTCTGGCATCCCCTGTGCTTTTTGCTTTCTAGCACTAAGAACTTCCTTTGCTGAAACAAAGAAGATACGATTCTGTGCTTCCAAAGCATTTACAACTTTGAGCTCCTCCACCAAGAAATGTAGGCATCTTTCCATGTGCTGTCTGCGTACCTACAGAGAAAAGGGTATTAAAAGAATTCTAATAATTCAAACAAATATAACCAATGACTACAGGCCTATACTAACTTCATTTACACTGCAACAATAAAAGTTACCATATAACTAACGACGTCAAGAAATTCTAATAAATGAACTTTGATACTTGATGACAGAAAATCTTTCTCTTAACAATTCTGTCTTTCGAACATTTACTTAAAATTCTGCTGAGCGATGTGGCTTATGCCTGTAATCCCAGCACTTTTGGAAGCCGAGGCGGTCTGATCATCTGAGGTCAAGAGTTCAAGACCAGCCTGGCCAACATGGCAAAACCCTGTTTCTAGTAAAAACAAAAATCAGGCCGGGCGCGGTGGCTCACGCCTGTAATCCCAGCACTTTGGGAGGCCGAGGCGGGTGGATCACGAGGTCAAGAGATCGAGACCATCCTGGTCAACACGGTGAAACCCCGTCTCTACTAAAAATACAAAAAATTAGCTGGGCATGGTGGCGCGTGCCTGTAATCCCAGCTACTCAGGAGGCTGAGGCAGGAGAATTGCCTGAACCCAGGAGGCGGAGGTTGCGGTGAGCCGAGATTGCGCCATTGCACTCCAGCCTGGGTAACAAGAGCGAAACTCCGTTTCAAAAAAAAAAAAAAAAAAAAAAAACACAAAAATCAGCTGGGTGTGGTGGCATGCGCCTGTGATCCCAGCTACTCGGGAGGCTCAGGCAGGAAAACTGCTTGAACCTGGAAGGTGAAGGTTGCAGTGAGCTGGGATCACGCCATTGCACTCCAGCCTGGGTGACAGAGCAAGGCTCCATCTCAAAAAAAACAAAACAAAACAAAAAATCCCTGCTGAGTTAAGGTCGGGGAGAATGCATTAACCAGGAATTAGGATTGCAGTGTTGGGTTTAAGATGACCACTTGGGCACTGAAGTGCAGATTAAGAGTTAGAATTTAGTACTCTTAGTTAGGGTTTAGTACTAGTCTTTAGCATTATGGCTATGATAAGGTATCTCTAAGTTAAGACTTGCAAAAATTAATCTAAATAGGAATCCTGAAATATCTGAGGAAAAATAATTTGTGAGTGATACTTCCTACGCCTCCAATGATTATATGAGGCCTCTATTGAAAGAGCATGACTGTAAGACAACAGTTAATGACAGGAGAATGTAAAACTTGATGTTAAGCGAAATTCCAATTGGGAAGATATGAAAGCAAATAATTTAACATGTCAACAGTGATGGGATAGTTTAGGTTATTTTTATCTTGTCCTCTACATATAATAATTTCGTACTACTATTAAAATCAGATATAGTGTCAAGCAAATTAAATATTATTTATAGTACAAATTCCAGATACTCTAATCTTTTTAAGTTTCTATAATTGGTGTGACTAAAATGCCAAAAAGAAAAGTTGAGGATACAAATCTCACGAAACTCAATCGGCTGGCAGGGGAATAAATCAACACCAAGCACTCTGGAGAACTCTGGTGCTGTTTCCTAAAATCAAACATGTTGTTAACTTGTAATCCAGCAATTTTGCCTCTAGGTACATATACCCATGGGTTACTAACCTCTGCATTACTGATGTTTTGGATTGGCCAGTGTTTGTCTGGGGGCCTGTTCTGTGTCAGAGGATGTATAATAGCATCTCTAACCTCTACTCACTAGATGCCAGGAGCACAAAAGCGCAGTTGTAACAACAGCAGCAACAACAACAACAAAATATCTTCAGATACTGCCAAATGTCCCCTGGGAGTCAAAACTGTCCAAACTCCACAGTGAGAACCACCTAACAAAAATGCACACACAGGCACACCAGAAGGACATACACAAGCATATGCACAGAAGCATTCATAACTAAATATAGGAAATTAACCCAAATGCCCATCACTGTGAACAAATCAACTGTAGTAGTCACAGATGGAATACTATACAGCAATGAGAATGCAATACAACACAACTATGCTATGCACAATAATATGGACACATATGATAATTAAATGAAAAAAAAAAGATGCAAAAGCAGGTATTATGTGATTCTGTTTATAAAGTTGAACCAGAAAGATTAATTTATGGGGTCAGAAGTCATGATAAGCAGATAATTTCTCCTTGGGAAGTAGGACAAAATGGAATTTGGAAGGGTATTAGTAAGAGGGGGGACTCTAGGGTGTTCAGAATGGTCTGGATCCTGACACAGGTGTGTTAAATTTGTAAAGTTTGCCAGACATGGTGGCTCACACCTGCCATCCCAGAACTTTAGGAGGCCAAACTGGAAGGATCATTTATGATTTATGTATTTTTCTGTTATCTACATTTCAATAAAAACTTAAAAAGAAGTTTCAAGCTTTGAAATAACTAGATAGTGTAACATAATTTTCCCTCAAAGTAACTTCATAACTTGGTCTTCATCATGTACCTACTTTAGGTTTTCTCTAACTATAATCTTTTCATGAAATAGTTCTCAAATTTTCTATTCTTTAAGCTATATTGTTTTCTCAAATAATGTACAAGACTGTATTTAAAAACCTACAAAAAAAATAATAACTTACATCTTCCATGTATTCTGGCTCTGATGCAGAGGCATCCCAACGATTATTGAGAATGAAAATATTAGGCTTGGAAAGCCGCTCATTCACCTTGTGAAAAAACTGTTTTTCCTGAAAAGCAAAAAAAAATCCCCACAGTATATTCACTATAATTTATAATTGAAATTTTATTTTAATGAGAAACTGTTAACCATTTAGTCAACAGTAATTAACACTACTGACAAAGGATCCCAAAGCACTTTATGAGTATTAACTTTCAAAGATGAAAAAACTGATAAATAACAATTTTTAAAACTCATGTTACAGTTTTGAATATTAGATTATCCAATATAATCTAGACATTAAAGATAGATTCTATTAGATAATCTAGATAGATGTCTAGATAACAGGTTATATTATATTAGATATAACCTATCTAATATAATAAACTCTGGAAAGTTTATTTCAGATGAGTCTGGCTCCAGACATTCTGGATAAATAATCTACTAGGTCTGACAGCAGCTTGAAGTGTACACAGGTAAGCTGAAACCTAGAGTATATTCTGGTGAAGCTGGAAATGGCTGGCAATACTGAAAATATAAAAAGACTTGCCTGATAGACGGCAGGGAGAAGGAGTGGTTTCTACTTTACTCAAGAGACTTAAATAAGCATCCTAAAATTTCTGGCACTCATTCTCCCTGAGACTGGCAAATAACCAGAAGCTAGAGCCATCAAGCCCTGTGTCGCTAGAGAAATCCAAGGAACTGCACACTATGGAAAGACTAGAAACAGCCCTTCTGCTTCTATGAAAACACAAACCCCTTCATTATGCCTGTTTTTAGAAGTTCTTTCTAATCCATGATTTGGATTTCCTTTGCTTTTCAGAATTAAAAGACACTGTTTCATTTCCTACCACCGAAACACAGTATTATGATTAAATCCTACCGTATTCATTAGTGTTGATTCAGAGTTTGCAACCAAAACGAAGACATCAGCATCTAGGCAAAACTTATCAATCCAGCTATCCAGCTCTGTGGTAACATCTGTGCCTGGACTAATGAGAGTGAAATAAAAATTGTATCATATTTCTTGTCATGAACATCTCCTCTCTCCTGTTTCCATTGATTACTTGAAACAGTCATTTCCATTTAAAAGAAAAACCCATTATCAAAACCAAAATGGAGCCAGGTGTGGTGGCTGGTGTGTGCCTGTTATCCCAGCTACCCAGGAGGTTGAGGTGGGAGAATCACTTGTGCCTAGGAGGCAAAGGTCGCAGTGACCCAAGATTGTGGTACTGCGGCACTGCACTCCAGCCTGGGGCTCAGACCCAGACCCTGTTTCCAAAATAATAATAATGATAATGAAACACATAATAAATGTAGATTAGTCAAAAGCACTGTAAACTATTCTATTAATTACTGAAAAACAAAAATGTAAACTATCCAACAAAGTTATTTTGTGAAACTTTGTCAAGTACCAACTCACTATTAGTTAAGAAAAATATTTATTTAAAGTTATCTAGATGTCTAGAGTTAGGTAATTTCTAAATCCTAACCACTTACTCAAAATACAGAATTTAAAAAAAAGTAGCTATCCTTAAAATTTCTTGAAATAGAATCAGAATGATGAACTGACACTTTTATGTAACTTATAAAATAAAACCAATACCTCATCTGTTCATAATCTAGCTAATGAGAACAAAGTGGTAACTGAAATGTTTTTTTGTTTTTTTTTTTTTGAGATGGAGTTTCGCTCTTGTTACCCAGGCTGGAGTGCAATGGCGCGATCTTGGCTCACCGCAACCTCTGCCTCCCAGGTTCAGGCA